GGATGATGTGATTTAAAGTATCTTCTAAATTTTCATACATGTTGTTGTTAAGTGCTGTTGAGTTGGTTCTGACTCACAGTGGCCCTGTATAGGGTTTCTGAGGAGCAGCTGGTGAATTTGAACTGCTGACCTTGTGGTTCAAACTGACCTGTGGTCCAGTGCTTATTTTACAGCACCATTCCAGGATTGAGGGGGCTTTAAAATTTTTGTGGAAAAATGGAATTCAAAGATAAAAAATTTTTCCCTCAAACTTTTTGAAGCCCCCTCACATATATATGCACATGCATAGAAAAGTTTCGAAAGGCTTCATAGTGACTCGCTCTGGAGAAAAGCCAGCACATATGCAGGGAGGTGGGCTGCACTTTTACTTCCTATGTTTCTGTAGTGGTTATTTGCAATGGCTAAATATTCATGTATTTCTTACATAATTTCAAAATCACTCAAAGAAATGAGAGAAAATATACCAAAAGAAATTCAGTCCCGGTGTTTTAAAATGCTGATCTTCTATGAAAAGAATGCCAGTCTAGGAGTTGGGTGACCTGCTAAAAGCTAACTGTGAATTCACCCAAGTAATTTCACTAAAAAAAATAAAAAAGCACCCAAATCATTTCACCTAAAAAGCTCTCTGCTTACTTATTTGTAAAATGAGATGTCTTGATTAGATCGTCTGAGTGCATCACTCTTCTGGGTAAATGGGAAGAAAGCCAATCTGAATTTGAAGTCGTTTAAAAGATATAACATTTTCTAACATTAAAGAAAATTAAGTGTCTCCAAGTTAGCCTTGTCATTTTGTACCCGGCTCTAGAAGCCGCCTTCTCAAGTGAAAAGACCCACTAAGAAACCCTAAGAATACTGAGATGTTCAGGCTGATTTCTGGTGTCTCCTTCAGAGTCCCAAGCCTTCCAATGTACTAAGACCAACGTGATTAGAACCAAAATGAGTTGAGGTGGCAGAATCACCTTACCAAAGCTTTCTGATAAGTTACTGAAATAAATACCACACTTTATTTCATGCTTTAGCTGTGTTTAGTTGGGGTAACTTTTTGTCCTCTCTTTTTGAGTGTGGGTTAAGATGGAAAGATACTGGTTTGAAGCTTACCAGGTTCCAAAGCACAATCATAAGATTCCAACAAGCAATTCACTTAGACCATATTCTAAAAGTACAATAATAACTATAAAAATTTGTTAGAGACCTTTATGATTCCTGTATCAGTGAAATATTCTAACTCGTAAGACTTAGCTGTGTGAAATCTTTCTGGAGCATCTAGGTTTTTCTGGTGTTCTGATCATGCTAATGCCCTGTTCAGGAGAGGGCCACTTAGCTATATGGTCTCACAGGAATGAGACTGAGTGTTTCCACTTAGGAACTTAGGGAGAGGTTGAAGGTGAAGAAATCTGTTTCAGGAAGTCAGTTTAAAGAAGTGGAGAACTGGGAGAGTCTCAGGCATAGAGCTGAGGTCATGCTGTTGCTGTCACGTGCCATCAAGTCAGTTCTAACTCATAGCAACACTGTATAGGGTTTCCGAGGAGCAGTTGGGATGCTGTTGTTGTTGTTAAGTGCTGTCGAGTCGATTTCGACCTATAACGACCCTGTATAGGCTTTCCAAGGAGCAGCTGGTGAGCTTTGCCGTTTAAATGAATGTTGTTAAAGCATCCAAAAATTGCACTGTGAAATATTCTCTTCTGTGATGTTGTTATTAAGTGATGTCGATTCCAACTCATAGCAACCCTGTATAGAGTATCTAAGGAGCGGTTGGTGGGTTTGAACTGCTGACCTTGTCTTGTGGTTAGCAGTCCAATGCATAGCCTACAGAGCCATACCAGGACTCAGAAACCCCAAAATCGCACTGTGAAGTATTCTAGGATGGCCCAACACATTTTCCCAAGTATCGCTCATATTCCCTATGCAACTAACAAGCTGTTTTCTAGTATGGAAATAAACTTTGTCTAATCCCTTTCCGATGATTATTATTCCAAGTTAAAATGATATTGCCTTTTTCTCTGTTTATCTAGATTTTCTCATAGTTTCCAATACATTTCTTTTTTGATATAATACTTTCTTTATATCACAGCTTTTTTTACTTGCTTAGTAATATAGCACAACAATTATAATTCCTGTATTGCTTATTTTAGGGACAAACATAAAATTAATATGACATTTAACATTATTTTAAAGCAAACTTAGTCTGTGTTTGTATTTAATCTGGAGTTTAAAATGAAGCTTATACTTATGTAAATATCAAGATGCATTCCAGGCTTTAGTAGAAAGAATAGTTAAAAAAAACAAAAACTAACTAATAAAAAGATAAGTAGATGGGAATTTAATCTCTTCAATTTAAAACCTCTTAGCTGGGATCACTCATTACAGAAGTTTCATAAAAACATGCTGCAAACACTCTCAGTAATTAAACATGAATATACGATCTATGGTAAAACTTGGCCCTTAGGCCATATAAGCTTAAATATACAAAACCACATTTGTATTTGATTCTTTCTTTTTTATTACCTCCATCCTCCAGTGAAAGGCATTCGTGTGTGTTAATTGTCTTGTTCCTATGCCTCGACCCTGGACCATATTAAGAAATGCTTCTTCCCATAAATTGTCAAGTATTCATTGACAAGCCATAGGGAACTTACACTATAGAATGTTGTTACCAATTAATAATTCTGTTGACTTGGTTTATGAGGATGAATTATTCATCAGAATCTTTTTATATCATGCCAATGTAAGCAAAAACTTAAGAGCTGTCAGAGCACCTACAGGATAATGATAAAGAACACAAAATAATTTCACTTAAAAATCAAACAATCACCTTAATTTAATCCTTGTATTTCCCATACTCAATTATGGTTGTTTACTCTTAAGCCTCATCAATTTTGAACGTGAACATTCAAAATGTTTAAGCTGCAATTTTGTGAAGTAGGAGAAGACACTGGTTTGGGAATCAGAAGATGTGAGTCTTAAGTCTACTTTGACTTACTGCAAAAAGACTAGACCTCTTGTTTCTATAAATTCTTAAACGAGTGCTTGGATTAGTAGGTGTTGAGATTTCTTTCAGTTACAAAATTTCATTAGGGTTTTATAATGTTTGGTTAGAAAGTGCAAAGACAGCAGTTGGTCTGTTTTGACGTAAGCTAGAAATAACAACACATATGATTTGAGATATTCAGGTAAATAAATAATATGTAGTACTCCCTGAAACCTTATTAAGACTTTAGGTTCCCTTCCTATTAGGTATGGTATATTTGGAATATTGATAATTTAAAATAGTTACAGTTTGTGATTATGACAATTGTCTGCTGGAGGGGTAAGCAGAAATAATTGAGAGAGAAAGACTCACACATGTATGTGAAACACAGTGGAGTCCTGGTGTGGCATTGTGGGTTAATGTGCTGCACTGCAAGGTCGGCTTGAACTGCAAGGTCGGTTTGAACTGCAAGGTCGGTGGTTCAAGCTCACTAGTCATTACTCAGAAACCCTGTACAGGGTTGCTATGAGTTTGTACCAACTTGATGATACTTAACAACGATATACCAGGGGTATCTTTGAACTAATTAGTCATTTTGGTAATATTTTGAAAGTGTTATTCTTTTCTCTGAGTTAAAAATGGAATTAATCATAACTAAAATATTTTGTAATTGAAGTTTTACTATGTCAGCAGAATTTTATACAGCAATATCCTCAAACACACAATAATTCTGACTGACATAAAAAACTTCTCCATCTGCTTTCGACACAGGACCAGGAGGTGGCTATTTTAGCAAATGGGTCATAATCTACTGACATTTTTAGTGGCTGGCTTTTCAATCATTTTCAAGAATTCGTCCTTCCTTTGATTTTTACTTAAGGAGAATGACAGTTAACCGGAACTAGTCCTAGCTCTCCGAGATTTGCTTCCGCTATTTAACAAGCTTCCCTAGCTCAGGTTGCTAAGTGAACATCATGGTCACAAAGGTTTACAAAGATTTACAGGTGACTAAAGATGGCGGTTACATTAAAAGGTTTTCTTGCTTTTCAAGTTTCACATTTAAGATCCAAGAAGATGGCCAGTCCTCTTCTTGGACTTAGTGAGCCTAAAGGGAAAGGGAAGGGCACTTAAGACCTTGTATAAGGGTGTGTGATGGTGTGTGCATGTGTTCAGAGATGAGCAGAATTAAGTACTGGCCAATTATCCTTAACTGTACTTTAACCAATCTGGCTGAGAGAAGAAGTTGGCTTACACACTATCTGTCCAGAAAAAGACATAGCAAATATAAATGTAGCTGACAATGAAAGTACAATTTCAAGTAAGAAAAAAAGAAGAGGGGGTTGGAGGAAGCCGAGACCAATAAAGGTAACACATCATTTTAGACTTTTCTGAAAAATACTTTTCTGTGTGAGTGGGATTACATGAATGAGAATATTCCCACCACAGCATAGTTTATCATAGTGAAAGACAGGTCTGAGAACTATCTGAGTAACTGCTATTTTTAAAAAACTATTATCCACAGAAAGAAAACAGGTACTAGCAAAATGCTGTCTTCCCAAATTTACTGACTCCATACAGAATCGAGTATTTTACAACCTGAATTGAAATACAAGAATATAATTCAGACATCACATAACAGATCTGAAAGTGTCAATGTTACAGACTGTTATTTTCAAGCAAGGGTCACTTAATAAAATCTAAGCCTGGTGGATAATAGTTGGTGCTGGACTTGCCATCCCATGCCACCATATACGCAGACTGAAAATTCAGTATTTTCTGTGTGATTTGTCATTTCACTTTTAAGAAAGTGCTAAGTCGGTACGGAATTAACTTTTTTCATACAATATTTAGTGTGAGTATATGGAAAATTTTGTCTCTCTTACTATGGTTATTTAAGGGCACAGTAGACAACACTGTCTTTCACAGAAACAAGGGTAACTTGAGATGGAGATGCAGGGTGTCCTCTGAAGTCAGCTGAAAGCACATGATCACCATAATAAAGACGGACAAAGGTTTCTGACCTGATTACAAATAAGGAGTCATATAAGAAATGGCTTTATTAGAAAAACTGTAGTGTACATGTGGCTAATTTCTATCATCGATATACCTCTTGGCTATTTTATAATAAAATCTGATAAGGGTTTAAATTTCTTTAGAAGTTAGTGGCATTTCTTCCTATTCTGATATGTGATTTGGGAAAGGAGTTATCTGCCTATCATAGACACCCTTTATTTCTTTGCACAATTATAATGAATCAATCAGTAGTTTAGTACTGGCACAAAACGTAGAGGGAATTGTTTAGGTAGTGTTTCATGTATAAGACATCACACTTCCAACCTAAGAATCAGGCATAGTTATGCCATTTGTATATATATATATTGTTTAAAAAATCACTAATTACCACTTAAGTCCCGCGATATTACCTAGTAGCAGTTAAATTAATGTGATCTTCTGTGGCCTAACAAAACCTCTGAATGAAGTCTCTCTCTTCTCCTTTTCTTTTGTTTCCTGTTGGATGTGCAATTCCAAGCAAATGTGCGGTACGCAGTATTGATCTCATCTCTTTTTAATCCCCTTCAGGTCTGTGCTATTAAACTGAGACAACCACATCAAGATAGAGTCTGTCATAGGATTCCCTGAAGCACAGAATGAGGAGAAGACTGAGCAAACACGACCCAGGAAGGCACCAGTTGAACCAAGACAACTCTGTAAGACAAAAACATGCAGTTTTAAACATTCATGTAACACCAGCTGGACACAGGGAGTGACAACTCAGCATTCAGAAGCAACTTATAATAAATGCATCCTAGAAGGCCTGGAAACTGGCTTTCAATAAACAGTGACAATCTAGAGACTAAGCGATGCATAGAAAATATTACAGGGCTTTCATGTGGAATATTTTTAATCAGTGTTGCTAGTAACATTTCATCAATTTAATCCACCTTGACTTTGGTGACAAAATAAATCTAGTCAAAGGGAAAAAAATCAATCACCTTTAAATGTTAGGTGGGTAATTATTTTTTAAGTGCTCTCTATCACCATCACTCTTGTTCCTGCTTAGAAGTCCAATGAGGTAGAAAGACACCTAAGAAAACCTCAAGTAAATTTTGAGATAATACTTTTATGTTTTTGAAGGGAAATACTTAATTCTCAGCAAAAATAGCTAGTTGCAATCACTGCAAAACAGGTTAAGAAATACAGAAAAAGAAAGTAAAACATAAAAATCAATCCTAGGTTTTACCCCTAGAAAAACCTTTTTGATTTTTTTTGGGTTGATTTCTTTCTAGTCTCTCTCTCTCTCTTTTCCTACTAGCATAAGCAGTTAGTTATATATGAGACCAATTACTGGAAATCCTACAGGGATCATCGAAACTGACAATCCTGTTGTTAGATTTAATAGTATGAAGAACATCCATCTTCATAGTGAATGAGTGTTCATGGTGGTGGAAAGTAGCAAAGATTATGGGCAGTGCTTGTACGACATAATTAATGCAACTGATAGCATTAAATAGCACAACTGAAAAGTGTCGCATTGATAAATGTATTATATCTATGAGCGGGTATCTAAAAGTTTGTGGAATAATAGAATGAAAAGATCATGAAATTTTTCCACATATTTTTTGAAATCCCATGTATATATTTTAAAAGGAACCCTGGTGGAGCTGTAGGATAAGCATTGGGCTGCTAACCACAAGGTCGGCAGTTCAAACCTATCAGTAGCTGCAAAGGAGAAAACTGAGGCCGTCAGCTCCTCTAAAGATTTACAGTCTCAGAAAGCCTACAGAGCAGCTCTACTCTGTTCTATAAGTCACTTCTAAGTCAGAATCAAGTCAGTAGCAGTGGGTTTTGTTTGGTTTTTGTATATATTTATATATAAAAAGAACAGGCTTCTTAAAAACTGTTCTCTCGTGAATTCAGACTCTTCAACAGGACAATCCTCAAGCTCCTGGGACCCTTCAGATATGCATCTGTTTAGCTCCCTCAACCCCAACCACTCTGCTATTTACCCACGGCTTTGGGTGCAGAAGTGAGCAGCTCTTTGGCATAAAGAGGTTGGAGGGGTCTAGATGACTTTTCTACTTTAATTATCCATTTAGCAGTGCCAACAAAGACCAAACAAATGAGGGAAACAACTTCCTGGTACTTTTTTTTTGGTTGCTATTACAGGTTTATATTTTACCTTTGCACTTCTATAGAATGCTAATACTGCCTTAATCTTCAAAAATCATCCTAAGAATTTCCACACTGCTGCTTTACTTTAATCCATAATTCATATGACTAAAAGAGCAATTTATGCTCAGGAATGGAAATCAGAAAACCAGTAAAGAAAGGTGTTGAAATACCATTTTTCCTTCTTCTCTGAAATATGTTCACAAAAACAGCCTCCCACCTCTTAAAATTTGTACATTTTAAAAGTCAGACATGCTATACTCTAGTATGTAACAAAGACATATATTTCAATGGGATTTTTATGCAAAGCTGGTTCTTTGTGGATTGAATATAACCTAAACGCTCAAGAAGGCTGTCACCTCTGGGATCCTGTCTTTATTCTGATATTCCTGAGATAACAACCCAGGCATTTTCTGCTTTTATATTAACCACATAACCTCTGGATTTCTGATGATCTTTTTAACAGGCAAAAAGAAGCAGTTTAAAAAAAAGGAAAAAGCAGTCAGATTTACACAATAACATACTCTAAGAATTGCAAGTAAGTTTTCTGATTTTAATATAGAATTTTAAGCAATGTATAATAGAAAGTGTGGCACTTGACAAAGAGGTCTACAAGAAGAAAATGGGGAGCTAGAAAACACATGGAGCGACAATAAACTTGTCCCTCTTCGCCTAACACTTAGGAATTTCCCAAATATTGCCAAAGCAGACCTTTTATTTCACCAGAGCTGTTAAAATTATGCCCTCTACCCTGGTTCAGATAAAGCCTTTAAAAATGCCTCCTAATAGCTTGTTGACTGGTTTTCACCAGCCTCTTTCTGAAAAGCCAAATCTGCCTTTCAGGAAATTCACTTGGCTCAGTCAAAGGGGAACTGCTAGATCTTCCTACTGAAGACCATTCACACCAACCACAGTTCTAATAAGAAGGCAACGGCTCCTAATTTCGACAAGCCAACTGCCGTCCTATCTGGGCCTGATGTCACATGATGTAGTTGAATCAACAAGCCTGCTGCATGAAATTTTCTTATTTTTAATCTTTTCATCTTTTAAGTTAGCATAGTTTTCTAACCCTTCTTCCCTTTGCACTAAACTATAAGAAATGGAAGCCATATTTTAAAGCAGACCTTTACAATTCACCTCTCATACTTCTGCAGGCTCTCCAGCATCTACCACACTGTAACTTGAGAACTCTCCTTACCAATTTATGGTGCAGACAGAGGCTGTATTTTACTGGGTGAACTGGGCTCTCTACCAAATCGTGATGGTCTGTTGGGATTGAACGAATCAGGACTCTGCTCACCTTCCTATTTCTTCCAGGCAGTGCTAGCATACTTCCCCTCTCACCCTTCTTTCTCTCCAGTGATGCAGCTTTTGGTTTTTACCACCTTCTGGTACTTATCTGTATCCATCTGCCACCCACTGGACTAATCTTCTACATTCTTTGGTGATTTAACAAAAATATAAGAACAGAATTGTCTTCATTCTCACTGCAGGTGAAAAGCCAGCTGATATGATTTCAGTTCAATGCGCTGCTTCCTATATTGTTGTCTTGTGCCATCGAGTTGATTCCAACTCATAGTAACCCTGGATAGGACTTCTGAGAATGGCTGGTGGGTTTGAACTGCCGACCTTGCAATTAGTATGGTTAGATGTCCAGTGTTTATCCAATAGCATCACAGTTACTACTATTAACTACTACCATATTGCCTTATTTTCCCTTTCAGATATTAAATAACTTCTCAGGAATCCACATTTATCGAACCTACCCTTTGTCCTCCTGGTAACCTTTTCTCTATGCCTCCCATGTTGGCTACCCCCTGAATCTTTTGAACTACATTCATATGGCCTTGAATTCATGGTCAGTACCTTCAATGAAAGGACTGTGATATAAGACTTCAATGCTTTTAGCCAAAACCTTCTGCAAAACTTCTAGAAAATAACTAAATACACACAAACACAATATGAACTTCAGAATAAGTTACAAACTATGAAATACAGTATTAGAATATATTTCTAGCCTCCTAAACTGTGAGAAAATAAATTTATGTTTATTAAAGCCAACCATCTGTGATAATCCTGTTATGGCAGCACTAGACAACTAAGACAGGTTAGTACCATTATTGATGTCTTCCCTGTCTTTATATGTGTATATTATAAGCAAAAGCTGGACAGTGAATAAGGAAGACCACAGAAGAATTGATGCTTTTGAGTTATGGTGTTGGAAGAGAATACTGAAAGTGCCATGGGCTGTCAAAAGAACCAATAGATCTGTTTTGGAAGAAGGGCAGCCAGAGTGCTCCTCGGAGGCCAGGATGGCCAAACTTCGTCTCTCATACTTCAGACATATTGTCAGGAGGGACCAATCGCTGGAGAAGGATATCATGTTTGGTAGGGTGGAGGGTCAGAGAAAAAGAGAAAGACACCCAGCCTGATGGATTGGTAATATGGCAGCATCAATGCGCTCAAGCGTGGCAAAAACTGTGAGGTTGGCCCAGGACCGAGCAGTGTTTTGTTTTGTAGTGCATAGAGTCACTATGAGTCGGTACTGACTGATGGCACCTAACAACATTATACCAGAGACTACATGCAAGAGATTTATTGGGGGATAAAATTATTTGGCATATACTGTTGTCTTTAATACTGGGAGGACACAAATCAATTTTTAGCAGGCAGGAAAAACAAGAGCTCTGCTGGGCTGAATGGATCACTTAGCAAACCTGTGCCCATCAGTTGGAAAATTCTTTCTCTCATACCAAAGGGCATCAGCCATCTTTGATGCTTTGCCAGGCAAAAGGGAGGCAGTAAGCCTCTTAATTTCCACTGTGATACAACTAATGTGGATTAAATCTGATATAAATACAGCAATTCTCTAGGTTTTAAACTTCTGACTACAACTCGTCCTTGACCTTTAATGCTATGTAAATTTGCAATCACATTGAAAAGACTGACCCAACCCCTACTTGCACCAAATCCTTCATCACATCTTCTACTTTTTAACACTTTTAAGAGGTCTCTGGCAGCAGATTTGTCCAAAATACACATGTGATTTCTTGACTGCTGCTTTCATGGGAGTTGATTGTGAATCCAAGTAAAATGAAAGCCTTGACAACTTCAATCTTTTTGCCATTTATCATGATGTTGCTTATTGGCTCAGTTGTGAGGTTTTGTGTTTTCTCTACACTGAGGTGGATTCCATACTGACGTTGTAAGCTTTTATCTTCATCAGTAAGTGCTTCAGTTCCTTCTACAAGACCAGCAAGCAATCATTTGTATATTGAAGGCTGTTAATGTCTTCCTCCAAATTTGATGCTGCATGCTTCTGCACATAGTCCAGTATCTCAGATTATTTGCTCAGCATACAGATGAGTAAGTATGGTGGCAGGATATAACCCTGAAAATACTTTTTTTGACCTTAAACCATGAAGTATCCCTTGTTTTATTTGAATAACTGTCTCTTGGACTATATACAAATGCTGTATGAACACTTGTTGTTTTGAAATTATCATTTTTTGCAATGTGATGCATAATTTATTATGATGCACACAGTTGAATACCTTTGTGTAGTCAATATAACACAGGTAAACATCTTTCTGGTATTCTCTGCTTTCAGCCAAGATCCATCTGACATCAGCAACAACATCCCTCATTCCACATTCTCTTCTAGATTAGGTGTGAATTTCTGCTCATTCCCTGTTGATGCATTATTGCAACAATGTGTGTTTTTTTTTTTAATTACCATCAGCAAAAATCTTTCTTGCATGTGATATTTTTCTAAAACTTTTGCATTCCATTGGATACCTTTTCTTTTTAATGGGTACACATATGGATCTCTCCCAATTAGCTGGCCAGTTAGCTGTTATCCTAACTTTTTGGCAAAGACATGTAAGTACTTCTAGCATTGCATCCATTTATTGAAACATTTCAATTGGTATTCTCTCCATTTCTGGATCTTTGTTTTTACCAATGCCTTCAGTGCAGCTTGGACTTCTGCCTAAATATGGTCAAGAACTGATGATATACTACTTCCTGAAATGACTGAATGTTGACCAATTCTTTCTGGAACTGTGGCTCTGTATATCCCTTCCATCTTCTTTGATGCTTTCTGCATCATTCGACTTTTTGACCATGTTGTTGTTGTTAGGTGCCATCGAGTCAGTTCCAACTCAGAGTAAACCTATTAACAACAGAATGAAACACTGCCCAGTCCTGTACTCTACTCACAGCTGTTATTATGTTTGAGTCCGCTGGTACAACTACTGTGTCAATCTGTCTTGTTGAGGATCTTCCTCTTTTTGCTAACCCTCTACTCTACTAAGCATGATGCCCTTTCCCAGGGACTGGTTCCTCCTGATAATATGTCCAAAGCATGTGAGACAAAGTCTTGCTATCCTCACTTCTACAAAGCATTCTGGCTGTATTTCTAAGACAGATTTGTTTGGTCTTCTCACAGTTCAAGGTAATTTTCAATATTACTTGCAAACACCATAATTCAAATGCATCAATGTGTATGAGGCAACTGAAAATACCATGGTTTGAGCCAGGTACACCTTAGTCCTCAAAACTGACATCTTTGTTCTTTAACACTTTTTCCCATAGAATTCTTAATATTGTAACTCGAGACTTGAATTTTTCCTCAGTTCTTTCAGTTTGAGAAATACAGAACATGGTCTTCTCTTTTGGTTTTTCTAACTCCTAAGTCTTTGCACATTTCAATACTTTTCTTTCTTGAGCTTCCCTTTGAAATCTTCTGTTCAGCACTTTACCTCATCATTTCCATTCAAAACTCTTAAGTGTAAATCCTTATTTTAAATTGTTAAAAAGAATACTAGATACTTATGCTCTCGTTTACTAAAGTATTAAGAGAATTTAAACTATAGAAGAGAGAATATAAGAGAAAACTAAACATCTATGTCAAATGGGCTCACTACAAATCCATGGACGTCAATTAGCACCAGCTGCACCTGCCTTCAATGTGATCAATAATCTTTCCAGCTGTCCCTGGTAGCTGTTCCTGAACCCCCTCAAAGTTTATTTTTAAACGTAATTTCTCTTCTCAAACCTCTCTTCTACTGCCTTCCCAGAAACTCTTAGTAGAGGAAGGGTTTCTAAGTAGAAAGTTGGTGCCATTGAGCAGGGACCCTCAATGATCTGTCCAGTAAATGTATCTGCATCTGACCAGATTTTCCCCATCTCAGTTGAAGGGTGTCTCCTCTTTTATCCACAGCTAACTCCTCTCCACCTGTACTCAAGATCCCAGCCATTCCTAAGGATCATAAAGATCTCTGTCTTCTTAGAGGGCACTCAGTTTCTAACCTTGATCTTCTCACTCTATAGCTGCACTGTCCAATATGGTAGCTACTAGCCATATGCAGCTATTTCAACTTAAATTAAAGAAAAATTTAGATCCAACTCCTTAGTTACACTACCTACATGTGTACTGGACAGTGCAGATTAAAAAAAAAAAAATCCACTGTTAAAAAAATTTATTTATTTTAAAGAAATTATATCTTTTTTTTCCCCACCGAGAATACAAAGTAAAACATATACCAATTCAACAGTTTCTAAATGTACCAGTTGGTGACATTGATGACATTCTTCAAGTTGTGCAACCATTCTCCCCTACCTTTTCTGAATTCTTCCTCCCCATTAACCTAAATTCACTGCCCCCAAGTTTACTCCACAGAACACTCTTTAGTTTAGAATACACACTTTGCTCTGCCTTTGGGTGATCTTCTCTCATTCTGTGCTGAGATTTTAAACTAATATAAACACCTGACAATAATTTTCACTCTATTTTAAAACAGTAAATGCTAAGTAATTTTTTTAAAAAGCTACTGACCAGTGGTTCGCCACTCTGACTACATATTAGAGTCACCTGGGTGGCTTTCAGAACTACAGATGCTAGGCTCAGCTCAGCCTAATTGAATCACAAACTCTGAGAGGTGAGGAGGCACTAGATCATCCTAGAAGGTACTTTAATAGACACAACTGGGGATACTTTCTCTGACTGGTGTTTGAAGGCTCAAGTAAAGGAATTTACCTTAATGAGTATTCTCCATACAAACTGCATCAGTGCCACAAACTTCTCTCCTAACACATTTAGATAGCAAATCAAATATCAAATTTCTTACCTGTATGATAAAATGTGAGAAAAAATAGAAGCACTCCCATGAACATATTACTTAAAAAAGTGACAACTCCACAAGTAATTCCTTCTGGAACTGGGTAGACAGTTTCCACAAAAAGCTCAAAAAATATAGGTACACTGCTATTCAGAAATACTCCCAGGAGAATACAGGAGGTGTACAATGTCACTAAAATAAAAACACAAACATTTTAGTTTCATGGTAGCAGCAATGAGTCATAGCAGATAGAACTTCTGGGTGTTCTCTTTTGTAAGTGTCAGCTCTGGAATTTCATTTCTGTTCAATGGTGACTGATACAGTTTAACAAAGCATCATATATCTGCAATGCTTTTCTTTGCTCAAATTTTCTGTAATTAGTAAGCAAAGGTTTTTGTTGCTGGGGGGATTATTTACTTTAGCTTTTTTGGGTAGATTATACCAAAGCAAAAAAAAATTTTTATCACTATATTATAATTAAAAAAAATTATTTGCCCCTTAGTCACTGTCTTGGTATATAGAAGAATAGATAAAATACAACAACTTAATTTGAGTAGGCTTATCCTACAAGCTTAGAAAAATTTAAGATCTAATAATAAATGTAAAGACATTAAATGTTACGGAAAACTACATAAAGAAACAAGTTAATATAGATTATCAAGAACAAAATAAATATCCAATATATAATTTCTGGAGCAACACTTAAAAGATAATTAGTCTTCAATTTTGAAATGAATTTTACATCAATAGATCTTAAAATAAGTAAGTTTATGAGACACAGAAATTTTTTTCACTCAACATGGTATTATTAAGAGTATTTAGGATCCCAGATGAGGGTGCAGTCGCTCTGTAGGGTAAGCACTGGACTATAAACCATGAGGGCAGTTTGAGCCCACCAACCAGTCCCCAGGAAAAAGACGAGGCTTTCTGCTCCTATAAAGATTTACAGTCTCGAAAACACTATACAGCATGTCTCTATGAGTTGGAACCAACTCATTAGCACTTAACAACAACAGGATCCCGGAGTAACCCACAAAAAGCCCATTAGCCCATTCTGTTGTGAAATCTGTTGAATAAGGATCTGAAAATGTTTAGGTAAATGAACCTCACTTCAAGTAATTTTATCACTGACATTGTGTTAATTTGAAGGTGAAAATGGAACCAATGAGAAGAATGATATACTATTTAAAAAGCGAAAACATGTCCTCGAAATCCTAATAAGTATTAGTTGTTGTTGAGTCAATTCCTACTGACAAACATGAGTAGAATTTATTCTAACTATAAGATTACAGGAAAATGTTTTTAATAAAACAAATAGTAAAAAACAAATTTCTGTATGGGTTACTACAGAAAGCCACCACATGTCTGTCAGGTTTTTGCATTGTGATGGTGGGAGCTATGTCATCACTGTTTCAAATACCAGCAGGGCCACCAGGGTGACTAGGTTTCAGCAGAGCTTTCACACTAAGACAAACTATGACGACGGACATGACGAACTACTTAAAAAAAAAAAAAATGGCTAGTGAAAACCTTATCAACAGCAGTACATTTCCTGATATAGTGCCAGAAGATGAGCTCCTCAGGTTGGAAGGCACTCAGAATACAACTGGGGAGAGCTGCTACCTCAAAACAAAGTAGACCTTAATGATATGGAGGGAGCCAAGCTTTCAAGAACTTCATCTGCTAATGTGGCATGACTTAAAATGAAAAGAAAGTGGGACAAATAGCCATTAATAACCAGAACATTGATTGTATAAAGTATGAATCTAGAAAAATTATAAGTCATCAAAATGAAATGGAATGCATAAAGATTTATGTCCTAGGCATTGTTATTAAGTTTAGTGGAGTCAGTTCTGATTCGTAGTGACCCTATATAGGGTTTCTGCAGAATGGCTGGTGGGTTTGAACTACCAACCTTGGGGTTAGCAGTCTAGTTCTGATCCTATAGTGCCACATCAGGATTCCAAAAAAGGACTGTTGTTAGGTGCCCTCTAGTCGGTATGAACTGATAGTGACCTTATGCACAACAGAACGAAACACTGCCCAGTCCTGCACCATTCTCACAATCATTGCTACTCTTGAACCCATTGCTGCTACAATCCATCTCATTGGGGGTCTTCCTCTTTTTCACTGATCCTACACTTTAGCAAACATGATGCCCTTCTCCAAGAACAGGTCCCTCTTGATAATATGTCTGAGGTATAAGAGATGAAGTCTGGCTATCCTGGATTCTAAGGAGCATTCTGGCTGTATTCCTTCCAACACAGACTGGTTTGTTCTTATAGTCCATGATACTTTTAATATTCTCGTCCAACACCATGGCTCAAATGCATCAATTCTTCTACAGTCTTCCTTATTCATTGTTCAGATTTCACATGCATATGAAGCTTCAGGTGCACCTTAGTCCTCAAGCTGACATCTTTAATCTTGAACACTTTAAAGAGGTCTTGTGCAGCAGATTTGCCTAATGCAATACATCATTTGATTTCTTGACTGCTGCTTCCATGAGTGTTGATGGTTGATGCGAGCAAAATGAAGTCCTTGATAACTTCAACCTTTTCTCTTTTTAGCTTGATGTTATTTATTGGTCCAATTGTAAGGATTTTTGTTTACTTAAAATTGAAGTGCAACCCACACTGACGGCTGTGGTCTTTGATCTTCATAAGTAAGTATTTTACACCCTCTTTGCTCTCAGCAAAGCAGTATCATCAGGAAATCACAGGTTGTTAATGAGTCTTCCTCCAATCTTGATGCCACAGTCTTCATATAATCCAGCTTCTTGAATTATATGCTCAGCATACGGATTGAGCAAAAAGGACTAGAAGTTGGAAAATGTGGCCTTCATGATAGAAGCAATACCAGAGGTTGCATAATAGAATTTTGCAAGACTAACAACTTATTCATTGCAAATGCCACTTTCAACAACATAAACAGTGATTATACACGTGAATCTCACCTAAGAGAATACATAGGAATCAATCAAATCTACTGTATCTGTGGAGAAAGAAGATGAAGAACCTCTATATCAACAGTCAGAACAAGACCAGGAGCCAACTGCAGAATAGACCATCAAATGCTCATAGGCAAATTGAATTTGAAGTTGAAGAAAATGAAAACAAATCTATCTATGAGACTCAAAGTATGGCCTTGAGTATATTCCAACTGCATCTGGAGACCACCTCAAGAAGAGATTTGATAAACTGAACACAAATAACTGAAGACCAGATGAGTTTCAGGGTGGCATCAAGATGACCACATATCAAAAAAGCAAAAGGTCATTAAAAAGACAGAAAAGAAGAAATGACCAAAACAGATGTCAGAAGAGACTTTGAAACTTGTTCTTGAACATAAAGTAACTCAAGGAAAGGAAGAAATGATGAAGTAAAAGAACTGAAGAGAATATTTTAAAAAGCTGCTTGAGAAGACAAAGTAAAGTATTACAATGAAATATGCAAGGATGTGGAGTTAGAATACCTAAAGGGAAGAACACACATGGCATTTCTCAAACTGAAGAACTGAAGAAAAAAAAAAATGCATGTCAAAACTCATAATACCAAAGGACTCAACATATTGAATGACACCTGAAACATCAAAAGTAGATAAAAGGAATGCTCAGTCATTGTACCAAAAAGAATTGGTTGATGTTCAAGCATCTCAGGAGGTATATGATCAAGAAATGATGCTATTGAAAGATATCAAAGCTGCACTGAGGGCACTGGCAAAAAACAAGAGTCCAGGACTTGACAGAAAACCAGCTGAGATGTTTCAACAAACAGATGCAATGCTGAAGTGCTTACTTGTCTATGTCAAGAAATTCAGAGAAGCTGGCTAACTGACTGGAAGAGATCCATATCTGAGCCCATTTCAAAGATGTGAATGAACATAATGAAGAATTATTGAACAATATAATTAATATCATATACAAGTAAAATTTTATTGAAGATAATTCAAAAATGGTTACAGCAGTGCATCAACAGGGAGCTACCAGAATTCAAACCAGATTCAGAAGAGGTTGTGGAACAAGGGATATCACTGCTGATGTCAAATGGATCTTGGCTGAAAGCAGATAATACCGGAAAGTTATTTACCTGTGTTTTATCAGCTATCCAAAGACATTCAACTAGGTGGAACATAATAAATTTTGAGTAACATTGTGAATAAGTAGGAATTCCAGTGCTCATGCAAAGCCTATATATATACAAAGAGATAGTCATTCTCAAACAGAACAAGGGGTTACACTTTTTGGTTTAAAATCAGAAAAGGTGTATATCACGGTTGTCTCTTTTCACCATATTTACTCAATCTGACTCGATGTCACTTAACAACCAACAACAACTTAATCTGTATGATGACCAAATAATCCCAGAAGCTAAACCATATGCAGAAGAGCACAGTATCAGGACTGGAGGAAGACTCACTAACAACCTGTCATACGCAGATGATACACAATCTTGCTTGCTGGAAATGAAAAGGACTTGAAGCACTGATGAAAACAAAGACTTCAGTATGGACTGCAACTCAATGAAAAGAAAACAAAAATCCTCACAACTGGACCAGTAATTAACATCACAATAAAAGGAAACATTGAAGTTGTCATGAATTACATTTTATTTGGATCCACAATCAACATCTATGGAAGCAATAGTTAAGAAATCAAAGAATGTATTACATTGGGCAAACTTGCTTTTGCAAGTCTTTTGCAGACTTCTTTAAAGTGTTAAAAAGCAAAGATGTCACTTAGAGGACTAAGATGTGGCTGACCCAAGCCATTGTATTTTCAATCACCTCATATACATGCAAAAGCTGGACCATGCATAAAAAAGACTAAATAAGAATTGATGCATTTGAATTATAGTGTTAACAAAGAATACTGGCTATACCTTGGACTGCTAAAAGCAAGAACAAACCTGTCTTGGAAGAGGTACTGTCAGCATGCTCCTTAGAAGGGAGAAGGATGAGACTTTGTCTCATGTACCTTGATCATGTTATCAGGAGGCACCAGTCCCTGGAGAAGGACATCATGCTTGTTGATAAAGTAGAGGATCAATGAAAAAAGGAAGATACTCAACAAGATGAATTGACACTGTGGTTGCAACAGTGGGCACAAGCATAGCAACAGTTGTGTTGTATATTGTGTCTCTATCAGTTGGAACTGACTGTATGGTACCTAACAACAACAATAACTGCAGAAA